ACAAGTTAATGGTTAACTCCTTAAATTACTTAACACATGTTTAATTTTAACATATTTTTCTTTCTAATATAATAATAATTAAAAAAACTTTTTGAATATGTTTCTTCTAGATTAAACTCAAGTTTAATTGAGTTGGCTCGAGACATGCTAGTTAAAAGATTTTGATAAATTAACTAGTTGAACCTTGCTCAATTAAATTAATTAATTAAATTTTTTATTTAACTGGTTTCAACTTTCAACTCAATTCGGCTCTCGTGATCACTTTGAATTAAGGCTTGTGAACATTTAGTGTTACTTTCTTATGCGAAAAGAATTTCATATATTAATTATCAAATCTCAAATTTGACATATTTTAAATTGTTTTGAAGAAAATAGAGTAACACAAATCATATACGCTAGCTTTCGTAAGTAAAAATAATACATAATATAATAATTAGATTTTGTTACCTACAGCTGAATAAACAGTTAATAATAATAAAATTTTATTAAAAAAATATTTATTATATTTTTATAACTTTAATATAATAATTATAATTTTATTTATTTATATATATTTAAACTCAATCTTTAAAGATGAGATTAATGAATTCCATAATAATATTAAAGAATTCTTCATAATAAAGATCTATTAACATCTTTTGGATTACTTTATTTCGCTTCAAACTTTCAAATGCTTTATAGAAATAAAGTCATTTCTAAAATTCATGACAATATTTGAGGAATTTTTATTTAATGCGATGCTAATTCACCTAACACCTTACAAAAGACACATAGACTAATTCCTTTAAGCCACATTAATTATCAATGATCTAAATTCATCATATAGTGGTAATTATATTATATATATTTTTTTAAATATTTGTAAATAATATTATTTAGTTCAAAATCTATCATCTCGACCAAGGCGGTGTAAATCATTAGACTAATGAAGCATTTAGGACGTTTTTTTATTTAGTTTTTTATTTTTGGCTTTTTTTCACTTTCAATATAAACTTCTCATCAACATAATAATTTCTATAATTTGTCTAACAAAACTTTCCTTTGCTATCATCACAAAGCTTTATTGACTATCCAATATTCTAATTACTTTTACCTCGAAGCCTTTTTTATTCGTTACTTAAATGGCAAAATTGTAAAACTATCAATTAGGTTGAATTAAAAAAATATTAATTTTAAAGAGTTTATAAGTTTTGCTAAGCATTAAAATATTTATAGTTTTAAAAGATTAATTTTTTCTCTCCCAAATGTATGTATGAAAACTTGTTTTCTTTTCTTCGGGATATGCAGAAGAGCAAAGTGAAAGAGAACACTAAACTGGTTTTTCATGTAGGCGTTTGAAAACGATTCTAAACTTGAAGGATGTAAAGAGAACACTGGATGGAGGCAATCACTTTCCAAGCATAAACATACCCACACTTTCTTCGGTCCATTAGAACGTGGTTGCCCTTCTAATATGGGTTGGTCTCATCATCGTCAATCAAAATCATCACTTCGTCAAAGGGTAGGCATATCTCATAAAAAAATTGACCATATATTTCATTCACCAAAATTGAAGGATAAATCGACAATACCTCTGTTCCTTACTTCGACGTAAGGTTAATAATTATTATTATTATCTGCGACTGATGCGATGACATGTCTAACTACAAGCTTTAGTTTCGACACCTGGCAAAATCCATCAAGACCCAATCGCACACACAATACACGTTAAGACACCCCTTTTCTGTTTTTTTGGCGTGGAAGTTTAGTATCTTAACACGTGAACCAAGTTCTACATGTACTTTTTAGCGACAGTGCTTAAATTAAGTGCAACAATTTGCTTTAGAAGCAAGGTTATGGTCACCAGAAACAACGGTGTCCCCTGACAAGTCCCACCATTTTTTTTTCTATCTCATAATGAATTAAATTGAGAAATTCTAGATCATTTCATATGACCTGTAGAGAGACCAACTTACATCTGGGAAAGATTTGCAGCGAATTTGGGCCTTAGTGTTGGGCCCATCACCGACTGATGGCCCTGTTACCGGAAGTATTATCATCATACTTTAATGGTGGAAGGAATAATTGTTATGTATAAAGCAATGCATCTGAAAGTGGTTGTTAACCATTTTCCGCTGAGCCATCAAATCAATCTTTCGTTAAGTTGTATTGTCGTATAAGACAATGGAGAGCATTTTTATTTTTTATTTTTTATTTTTGCATTGCACCAATAAAATACAAAGTATGCATTTCATATCACCTTTTTATGTTTGAAATTATAAATCGATAAAGAAAACGAATTTATTTTGAAAATTTTAAAGATACTTATTATTCTTTATTTTATCTTTATTATGTCTTGATTTAATTATATATACCATATACACGATGAAATCAAAAGCATGACCGGAAAGTCAAACGTGCATGCAAAAGAAGGACTTGGTTTGGCATTAATTTGACGGTGATTGTTAGAGAAAAGTATAACATGGTAAAATTAATAGTATTTTTAATGAACATGCATGAGAAGATGCCTTGTGGAGCCCATTGATGAAATACAATATAGGCCACTTAATAAATAGCTCCAAAGTTTACTATATTTAGAAATCCTCGTTCCTGGCTTACACGGATGACAATGGTGGGGAGGTCAAAGAACCCTTCATTGCAATCTTTGAATATCAATGGTTGAAAAGAAGAAGAAAAAACGTTGTAAAAAAGGAGATAAATATCACGAGAATGTCTCGTCAAGGTAACTTCGATTCTAATTGATTTGTGTTAGGAACTAGCCACTATGATATGAGTTTTTAAAATTACAGCATTAATTGCCTTAAATCGCATTTTGCATGTGATTCAATGAAAGTTCATAAATTTAAATTTATAAAATTAATTTTATTTTAAAATTTTCCTTAAAAATAAATTTTGTAAATCACTAAATCGCGCCATGTTGATTCAACGTGCTACTAATATCATTAATCATTATTGATAAATTTCCATCGAATTTTAATTTTTTTATATGGATTAATAAAATTGAAAGTAGATGATTTCCCATTCTAGTGGGACTTGGTCTTGGTCTCTACTCAATGCCATGCTGTTTCTTAAGATAGTATAGTCTACCAAAATATAATAAGGTTGAACGAAATAAAAAGGAAATAGATTAAATTCTAATATTAAAAAAGTATGTGTTTTCTTAATTTTTAATTGAATTAAAAGATATTATAAATCATGTTTGCAAAATGGATAAGATTTAGGATATGTTTGATTAGTGTTTTAAAAACAGAAAACTGTTTTTTAAAAAATAAAATAAACACTCTTAATTTCCGTTGTTTTTTTAACAGCTTCAATCACCTTTAAAGGTAAAAACTAGAGGTTTGAGGACGGTTTTTTAATTTTTCTTAAAAAGAAAGACTCTTATAGATATGTGTGAGTTTTAAGCTCGGCCCGTGTCGTTTCAACAAAGGATTTCAATGGGCTCGCAAATGCTTACATATTGGGCCTTTGCATTGATGTTTCAGTTTGACCTGGGTGAGTTCATGGTGCACCGATTAATTTAAGAATAAAATCAAATCAGATAGGATCCTCGTAAGGAATGAGCCTTTGTGGTTAATGTTTATTAAAATTATGTTAAATTAATCTTAGGTTCTGAATTATTTAACAAAAGTTAAATATATTTTCGTTAAGTGAATGAATCTGATTAACAAAATTTAAATAGTTTAAAAAACTTATTAATTAACTTAAATAGTTTGAACAACTTGAGGACTGAGAGTGCCTGTAGAAGCATTGGCTTAAACCTCTGCAACACATTATCTGATTTGGATATCTTCTCAATTGTACATAGAAAGAAAGTTAAGGGATTGAACACGTGACAAAGAAAAAAACAATGAATTTGGCTAGTCAACAGAAAAACTAGATTATCTGCAATAATTCATTATATTTGTAGGGCAAGTGAGTAAAGTACTTTTTTTGAGCAATTTCATGGAAACTGGCGATACTTAGTCCTTATTAATGCCATACGACATATTTCAAATATATGCCGCCATGATTCACGAATCCAACCACACGTTGTGTCCCATGTTTTGTCATTAAAATATGTACAATGCACCACGTTTCCGCAGTTGACAAAATTGTCACGTCTTTTATTCAGTTATTAAATTAACAAAATCAATGTGCAAAAAATATATATTGAAAACAATTCTGATTCTAAAATTATAAAAAAAATTGAACTATATAATATGAATAGTTCAAATTATAATTAATTAAAAAATTTGTTAACTTCAGCCTTAAGATTAAATTTAAATATTTAAATAATTTTTTAATAAAAAATACGTATTTATTATATTAAAATAATAAAAATATAACAAATATTTTTCTTTGTAATTAAATTTCATTATTATTAGTTGTTTATTTTTACTTTAAGGGTTAGAGTTAATATTTTTTAATTAAAATTATGTATATATATAAAGTTTGATTCAGATAAAATATACAATTTATATTTATTATTTTCATCAATATAATTATATCTTATCATAATAAACAATCATGATTAAAATATAAAATTTATGTAATATATTTTTTTAAAAAGTTAACTTTTGAAATTGATCATATAACTTGAATTAACCTTTAATATTTCTTAAACTTATCATTTCCATACAAAAATAGTATATTTACATGGAGTTGATGCAGACTCAGCCTTCTGTACGACCTTTTGTAAAATTTAATTTGAATTTGACATAGAAAATTGGAATAAGAATGTCTGCGCAGACTGCATGTTATTCACGGCACCCCGACCCATCGTATACGGTATAGTTGGCATGCATATTAACACTGAAGTACGTAGTTTAATTTCTCCTTAGTCATATAAATTGGATCTTGACCAGACCAGTTGACCAACTTGCCGCCCTCATGTTTCACCTTCTTAGAGTGCATGCATCGTCCACACCACATTTTTTCCATCATATATATATATAACACATGACTTATGCTATAGCCCTCTAGTGCTAGCTTTTTGTTACTTCCTAGCTAATTCATCAATGGAGAAACATCAAGTTTTGTTCCCTACCTCTTCTTCACCGTCTACTTCTCCATTCGGTGATCATATTTCTATTGGGGCTGTTAAAAAGGATGATTTTTTAAAAACTCAAAGGCCAAGCCAGAAAGGTGGCAAAGAAATGAAGCAGCATAGATATGTGTTTCAAACAAAGAGCCAGATTGATATACTGGATGATGGGTACCGGTGGAGAAAGTATGGAGAAAAATCCGTGAAAAACAATAAATTCCCTAGGTTTGTCTTACTGAACTTGTTAGTTTTGTTTTGATTATCAGAATCAATTCATAAATCCTTTATTTTGTGACATTTCCACACCTCCCTTCAATTTCAGCTATTAGATTAGCCCTAAATCCTGATCTTAATTTCTATTAATTTTCGTTCCAATTTTATTTTGGTTATTTCAGAAGTTACTACAGATGCTCATATCGAGGTTGCAATGTAAAGAAACAAATCCAACGTAGTTCCAAGGATGAAAAGATCGTAGTAACATCCTACGAAGGGATGCATACTCATCCTGTCGAGAAATCAGCTGAAAGCTTCGATCAGATCTTGAGAAACTTTCACGTATACAACCAACTGTCCAACTATATAATGTAAATAACTTACAATTCCATCCATCCTGTAGATTCTAACGCTGGAATTTTATAGGATAGATTTAAATTAGTACCAAATTTGTAAGTTTTTGTTCGTACCGAATAGCAAGATTCTTGGTTAATTGTAGTGGATAAATAACATTTCAATATGTTTTCAGTTTGACGTTCTGAAATATATTAGAGACTTCCTTTTCAGTGTAAAATATTTGGGAAGTGTTTAATTTATTTAAAGAGGGAAGTAAAAATATCTCTACTATTAACCAAAAAACTATAAAGAATAAATTTTAATAAATCAATATCTGTTACACACGGGTAATATGATCGACTGTTAATTTTATATCAACCATTAAGTTTCATTTTTTTTCTTGTAACATCTTACTTTAAATAGTCAAATCAGCTAAAGATATTGCAAGAGTGTGGATAGACAGTGCAGTCCTGACGAGGTTTCATCACTCATTGAAAAAAGTTAAATCTAGGAATAGCAATCGTTGCATTAGGAAGCAACGGGTTTACTCGATTTTATTTTTATACAGGAAAGACAAGAAATTATCGTTTATTTGATTTGAGAATTTTTTAAAGAAAAAAAAAACTACAACATTGAAGATAAAAAAGTAAAAATAACAAATTTGTATAAAAAAATTATACTTATTGCATTGAGAATGTAAAAATATAATAAATGCTATCTTTTCTTGGAATAAATCATTATTTTTAAACAATTAAAATCACAACTAAACTTTTTAATTACAAAAATCACATTTTATATTTTTAAATATTTATACAAAGACAATAAAAGAAGAAGAAAAAATTATTTTCACTATTTTGCAGCAAAACGTAGTATTTCCAAAATGGTTTTTCTGAAATTGCTCACCCTCAAGGTTAAGGAAGACTACCAATCTCACACGAAATATATACCATTCCAAAATATTATACAAGACCCAGCATTATCAAATGGCCGTATATGGTGAGCTGATTGTAAATTTGCAAATCTGAACAAATATCACAACTCCTGTTTTTACCGTTCTGAGTGCCAAGTCCTACTAATAATGTCATCAATTACAACAAAATGCATCGTTATAGAAAATAATTAGCCACATTTACTTTACTAGAGTACTACATAAACATAATGAGCTTATTCTGAACCATCATTAAGCTTCATAACTTCAAAGGTATATGCTTGATGATGAAGGATAATAGACAGTCCAGAGCATACATACACTTCGTGTCTACATAACTAGACCATTCTAATTCTAAATTCTCATTAGCCTAGATGAATTAGCAACTATGAAAACTACATATGAGCAGTTAATAAGGGAGCAGGGTCAGTTTCCTCATAAATATCTGTTGAAATTTACTAGTTTTCTGCGCTCTTTTGGCAAAAGTTCCCTCTCCACTATAGATTGCTGCTGCCTCAGACATAAAACACTTCCCAGATATGTCATTAACTTGTATCATTTGAAAGTGAAATGTCTTCTATAATGCCCTTCCCATCAAAAGCATCAAAAAAGAAGAAATTTTTAAGGGGGTCTCCTTTTCCAGAAATTGCTTTGATAACCTCCTGTGATGTTATAATAGTCAACCTAGTCAATTAAATATTGCAAGACATGTTTAAAACACAATTAAAACTACTAATACACCTGTCCAAGGATTCCCCCAATAATAGCACAAACTGGCGGAAATTCTGTTGTATTTCTCACCAATCTTTCTAGAAGAGCATCAGGCACATGAGAATCATTGAGAGACTGTCAATACAAACAGAAAGACGAGATAAATAATGGATATAACTGGTAAAACATAAATAACAAACTCCAGGAAGCATACTTGTGTACTACAAAGCTCCTTTTTCAGCTTGAGAACACCAGAAAGATCTGCAATTGAAACTTCCCCTGCACTACGTCCTTCAGCCTCTTCAAACTTTTCTATTACTGCAATAGACAATTTTATGTTACAGATTACAATTTTGCTTATAAACCAGACCTAACACAAAATTCAAGGCAGAAAACAGACAAAAAATTTCAGGAAGAAAACAGACTTTTTTCACACACGACACAACAAAAAAATAAAATACAAGGTGTAAGTGCTCTTTATCTCCTCTATCTTAACACAGTCCAAGGACTCAATCAATAAGGCATCCATCCTCAAGACCTCACCCAGAAGTTTTATTTTGCAATTGATTAGAATCATATATTTTTATTTTATATTTTATTTTACTTACAAAAACAGAACAGTACAGTTTACCAAACCTCTCATAGCAAAGTACAGCTTTGACATTCTCCTGTGAAGTGTCCTCCAAGGTACTGATAATGCATCCTGCAGCAAAAAAGGAGAAGGCATACTAATGAAAATCAAGCTCTCAAATACACATCATTTATGGTAAAGAAATATATGTAACACGATCACACAAGGAAATTATAAATGACACAGACAATCAAGATTGAATTATATGCACAACAACCCCATCCCACATCTATCATTTGATACCTGTAAAGGCCTGTTTTCTTTCTACAAACCAACACAACTCTTAAATTTGAATCCAACAAGGAAATCATATGTGCAACATGACATACCTAAGTATATGACAAAAAAAAAGGACTGCTCTTCTTTTTACTGACATCAAGATTATTATTTTAGGATCACTGAATTTACAATTATGCATAGACAAGCAACCCATGGGCATCTAATGCAAATTGATGGCTGGTCAATCATTAATGTGATCAGATGAAGCAAATCAGTCTGTTATTTTATCTATGTTCTATTCTTTCTTCTGCCAAATTGATCACTTGGAACACAGTGAAGGCCTTGAGGACTGCAACTCATCAAGAACCAAACAGTAAATTGTAAATACTATTTTGAGAAACATTAAAGGATTTTTTAAAAATACATAAATTGAAACAATGAAAGATACCAATGAAATTATAATGGATTGAAATGGACATACCTCAAAAGATGGATATTGCAGATGCCATTCAATAGTTTCCTCCTCCTTTTTCTGTCAAATAAAGACAAAGAATTAAAAAAAATGGTGGTTGTTGTAGAAGCAAAGGAATCGCTGGTGCTTATCAGCTAGAATTTACAATCACACCAGAAATTTGCCAATTGATAGAAATGACTAAACCCACATGTTTAAGAAAAACCTTAATGAATGTGATTATCAAACAGTCAATATAAAATCCACAATCATAGGCATTAAAGCTTCATCCATCCCAACTTACACGTTCATTGTCAACATACATAGAATAGATATTTTGATTTGTTCACAAACCATCATAATGTAACAGCACACAAGTTGACACAACAAATCAAAGAAGATAATATCAAGTCATAAAAGCAATAATTAGCGATGAGAAGTTAGACCCACAAGAGCGATACCTTTGAATATTTATAGTCCTGCAAATCAACAAAAATTTCTCCACAAGAATCCCTACAGTCAACAGTATAAAACGCTACACGTTTTGATAGCTTCCGGCATTTCTCATTAGCAACTTTCTACAGCAAAAGAATAAAGGCATACAAGAATGTTAAAAAGACAATTGACAATATCAAAAAGGTGTAAAATAACTTAGAACATGGTCACTAAGTAAAGCCTCAAATAAATAAATCAATATACTTAAGTATATCAGATAAAGAATTTCCACATTACTTTGGCTGAAAGTGAGCAACAACTGACAACAACAACATCGAACTTGTTGAAGAATTCTATATCAAAACTTGACAAATCACCTGAAGCCCAGATGAACAACAGAAAAAAAAAAAAAAAAACCACAAAACATAACATAAAAAACCACATGAAAGCAATGCAGAAGTAGAAACGAAATTAACAAGGAACAGATTCAAAACAAAAACCTTTTTCCACGGAAACGCGAACCATAGGATTGAAGTCTTTAAGTGAATTACAACAAAGCTCAGCGAGGGTCTTTCCACTAAACACATTTTCATCAGGAGGAAAAAGAAAGTTCGAGACAAGTGCTTCCTCAGTGGCCACCCGATCATCTACTAAAGTCAAACTACCTACTCCAGCAAGAACAATATTCTTGCAAAACTAAACAGGAAGAAACTCAAACTCATTACACATTATTACAACAACATAAGAAATAAAAATGAAAAAAAAAAAAAAAAACCAACTTTACTCTTTTTAGTCAAATTTGAAGTACCAGAGAGAGACCAGTTCTAGATTTACCTCAGCCACAGTTCCTTTCATTCCATAAACTAAGACATGAGCTTTGCTTAATCTAAAACAACACAATCACAAAAAAAAAAAAAAAAAAAAAAAAACTACAATTAAACTGCTAAGTAGTGTTGTTCGTTAAGCTCTTACTAGATTAGCAAAAATTAGCATAATTTAATTAGGTTAGAAAAGTAAAGTAACAAAAGCAAATCAGGTATAAAACAAAACAGTATTTTAAAAAAGAAGGAGAAGAAGGGACCTTCTTTGAGCATCAGCTCCCCAAACCCTAATTTGACGGTCGTACAAAGCGGTCTCGTGCGCCGTCAACTCCTCGCCGTCACCGTCCATTTTCAGTCGTAACCTGTTCCACGACATCATCGGAATGTTCACTTTCGATTTTTCTTGGTGTCGAATAATAAAAAAGAAAGCACAACCTTAACCAACAATACCAACTCGCGCTAACTTCCCCTAAACGAGCACAATTTCGTATCTCTGTTCGAGTCTTCAAAGGCGCGGCGATGTAAATCATAGGTGAAAAAGTAACTTAAATTTTTGGGTCAATACAAAATGGACAAAAAGTCCAAATAAACACCTGAAGCCCAAGAGTAAGAGAAAACCAGAGCTAGTAACCCAGCCCAAAACCTTAGTAAGACTCCAGTGTATAATACAATTCAATGTCAAACAAATCTGGATCTACCTTTCTCTTTTTATTGGGCTTTTAAATCAACAACTATTTTATTGTGTCAAATCATAATTTATCTAACTTAATTGCTAATTTGGGCCGTCATGGCCCATGATGAAAGCGTTAGAGACATATTTCATAGATGAGAAATGTTAATAACATTTTTTTAAAATATATTTTTAATTATTAGTTAAATTTATTTTAAATTGTAAAAATTGAAAGATAAATATTAAGATTATGAGTAAAAAAAAAATGAGATTTTACACAATTTTTAATAAATTTATTCAAAAGTAAAGAATGTGTTTCTACTATTTTTCTGTGTTGTAAATAGAAATATTTATGTGTCCATTTAGTTTTACAGAGTAAATGAACTATAATTTTATCTTCTAATCTTATAATTTAGGCTAATTAGTGCAACTCGTTTCAATATTGAAAATGTCGATGCGTCGCATGCCTTAGTTTATTCATTCAAATGTGCGCATATTGGCAAACAGAAAAAAGTTAGTAAATACTAAATCAATTTAAATCGAAATATATAAAATATGTTTGTTTCATCTTATTTTGATATATGTTTGTGGGGAAGAGACGAGGGGTTACCAATGTTATTAAAAAGTATAATCGTTTTTCAAAGCTAATACACACAAGTTAAGAAAAATAGAAACTACTTTGGTCCACCTAGAGAAGTGCACATATCAAGTTGAAAATTGAAATGTTCCCTCGTGTGTAAATTCAATTTTACACCGTCTTTATCCTTTTTGTTTGCGAGAGCATGGCTTCACCAACAAAGATGTTTCCTCTTCCCCTCCCTCCCCAAGAAAAAGAAAGGAACCTTTTTGTTCTTTGTTATCAAGAACAAATGTACCTCTCTTTTAAATGAACAAAAAAATGTTGTGTACCTCTAAAAGTAAACACTTAAAGGTGTCCTTGTATATTCGAGGTGTAGTTTAAAGGTGTAAATATACAAAAAAAGATTAAAAAATGTAAAAAATAAAAAATAAAGAACATGTAATATCATATGCTCTAACAAAATTGTTTTAAATGTGTGAATTTCAAAGTGGTCCAAGGTGGTACTATTTGTCCAAGGTCTAGGGTAGCCGTAGCTGCGCTAGTATTCACATTTCTTATTTGTCAATGTGCCTAGATATTCCACTGGTTTGACAAAACTCACAGACAAAACAATGGGTTGACGGTAAACTTACCTATAAAATAGAGAGAGAATGGGTATAATTTTCTTGTTCCTAAAACCACCTGCTTCATTTTAGCATCCTAAGCAGCACATAACACCAAATTGAGAGTATATAATAAAGAAAAGAGAGTTGAAATAAAAAATGAAAAAAAAGGGTTATATATTTACAGGTATGATGAAGTGGGTTGGTGACAGGAAAAAATGAGTGAAAAGGAAAGGAACGTGTTTGGACAAGTTGGGAGTGAGTAACCTGGAGGAGGGTGAATATCCTTGTTGAAAGCATAGGACCCACAAGTAATGCATGAAGCATTATGAACATGGAAGGGTATCTAGCACATTTAAGTGTGTCGTGGTTAAAACTATGTGTACTTGATTTTCCCTGATCTGGCAGCAAAGGCCAATCAATAAATTTGCTTTTGCTTTTTGGGGTGTGTGGGGGCATGCAGTTAATGTGCCCATACTTGTTGCTACCAAACTAGGATTCAATTTCAAATCTCAATTTCGGATTGGGACTTACCGCGTTCTGTTCATCCCCAAAACACCCAAGGGTCCGGTTAGTGGGGAGTCCACTCCAACCCACTTCGCCTATCGTTTTTTTTTTAAATTATTATTTGCTATTGATTTATTTTTTAAGAAACTAAAATATTTGTTTTGTTATTTTAAAAATAAGTTAATCAATTGCGAAAGAATATTAACAATTGTGCTTAAAAGTGCCCCCAGCGCAGGGGAAGATTAGCCTCAGTAATTAACTCCAGCCTACTTTTTAAATGTTGGGCTGTCATATTCAAAGGTCTTAATTATATTGACTAGTAAGTAAGATGATTATGTTAATGTATTCTGAAAACCAATGGGGTCAATACAATCTGCCTCCTCAGTCATTTAAATTAACCCCTCTCACAACAACTAAGACTTTTGCCCTTCTTTTGCTTTAATGTATTAACAAAATTATTTTAATTCAATAACTTTATAATATACCAAAAAAATATATAGAAAATCTGGACCAGTAAATTATTTTTGCCTAACATGTAGTCTCAATTGATTTAATTGTATTAAATGTTTAAAATAAAATTTTTATAAATATGATTATCATTTTTCACTTAAAAATAATTAACTCTAATAAAAGATACACACAGTATAGAAATAATAAATATTTTTTTAAAATTCCTCTACTTAAAATTTTTAGTAAATTAGATCAAAATGGGTGTCAAACTAATTTTAAATCCGTTTCAAAATCACATTTTAAACCCAACTAGTTTGCAAAAAATTTGTTTTACAGAGCTTAATTTTAAAATTGTGTTTTAATCGGTTTTAAATTAGTTTAATGTTATTCTTTTCCACATAATTTAGTTGCGGTTTTATTATTATTATTGAACAGTTTTGATTTTGTGAAGTTTAAATAAAAATGTATATATATTTATTATCTTAAAGACATTATATATATATATATATATATATATAATTATTCCTTTGTTAGTTAATGAGAAGATGTTGTTAACAATATTACAAAATTATTTCTAACTATATTTCTGTTATTAATAAAAATTATTTGAGTTCATTTGGGTGATTTGTTAATATGATTTAATAATAATAATAATAATAGAAATATATACAGATTTTTCAAGAAAGCTACTTTTAAAAAGTCAATGACGTGGTCGATTTTTTTATTTTTTATTTCAAATGGCGGCTGGCTTGCGTATTAACGAAGACACAGTTATTTTACATTTGCTTAAAATTCTTATTTTTCCAAATAAACTCTTTTAGTGAAGGTAATTTAACAAACTCACTATTTAGTTTTTTTTTAAAGTAATTTTGTGATTTCAACTAGGGGGAGCATAAGTACAAGAACAATGCTTTCGCAGGATTAAAAAAGGACTTTTAAGTTGTTTCCTGTTCGGAAGAAATCAGAAGAAACTTTAATCAAACATGGCCCATTGAAGATTTGTAATTATGTTTTTTTTTTTTAAGAAACAAATTATGAAGAGGGTTTGATTTTGTTCGATAAATAAGTAAATCACTTTCATTTTAAACTTTTTTTAAACTTAAATAAAATTTTTTTTACTTTTATTTTATAAAAATAATTATATGTTTAGTTATTATAACAAATTATTTGGTTGTCATTTTAAGATTTATTGACATCGAAAAGTAAATTTAGTCACTTACTTTTTATAAAATATATGATTTAATAATTTAATTTGTAAATCCTAATTTTTGTGAAAAGTTATTAAATATTATAAATATTTAAATTTGATACTTAATTCTTTTTAACATTTTTAATTTTAATTATTTTAATCTTTATAAAAATACAAAATTTATAAACTTGGTAATTTAATTATTAATTATTTATTTTTATATTTAAATTAATTTAAATTTGACTCGAGTCAATGAATAAATTTATCATCCAAAATTTTATTAATAATTTATTATTTTAACTGCATCAATGTATAAAGCTCTATTTGTATAAAATTTATAATTTAATAGTGATGCTTTGTTAATCAATCAATTTGATTTTTTTTTTTTATGAATGTAAATGCGTTAAGTATAAAATCACATGGTTATATACCAGTTTCTTTTTAAAATATATAAAAAAATGCGATATATATATTATAAAAAGTAAAATATGTAATAAAAAATTTTAATAAAAAATATTACTTTTAAACACTTATAATAGAGCTTGTATTAACAAAATCGTATATATAAAATTCATACTAAAATTTAATCATAATACTAAACTCAACTTTACGTCTGATTTTGTAAATGAAACATACACTAAATATTATCATGCCAACCTAACACGAAACACCGCGAAAAGATGTCTAGGCATCAAAACCACGAAACCCGGTTCAAAAGAAAATTGGTGATAATTAACAAAGTCTAAAAAATAACAATATTAGATGTTACATTTATTTATATGTCATAGTTATCCATTCGCGCATTATTTGCTGTTTGTATATCACATCGACGGTAAGCTATTTATTCTATAGATCATGTTTATAAATAACTGTTTTTAACAAAAAAAACTTTTCATAAGAAAATAAAAAATAATCATTTTTCTAAAACAAGTTAAATAAATCCTCCTAAAATTAATTATACAAGTAAGTGTTATGAACAACTTATAATTTTTTTTAGCACTTGCTATTATTACTCATTATTTTAAAATTCCATCTTCGCTATTTATATTTCTATATTTATAAATTTACATTTATTTTAATATTATTATACTTTGTATATCAAATCTATATTTATATATTTTTAACACATTTTTAACATAGATTTAGTGAATAAATAATAATAATTTTAATTATTGAGATAAATATTAAAACTTATTTTATTATTGTATAAATAATTTAAAATTTTAATAAATATTATTTTAAAAATATACTTAAATTTTATATGAAAATAACAGCTTTTGACATATTTAAAGTTAATTTTATTATTATTTTTTAAATGAGTATCATTCCAACCAATATTGTTACTTGTTTTGTCCTTACGTGTGTTAAGTGCTAGTAAAGACTAAATAAATTTAAATTAATGAGAAGTAAAGGATTTTTTTTTCCTTTCTCTTCAAT